CATGGTCAAATGTAATGGCCCTTCAGACCACACTTGGTTTGGGGAGTGTGTGAAATGTGTGTACTGGTGCATTCCTCTTGCATTCCTTCTGCATGTTTTAAGCTCATTACCTAAATTGTCTTTACTCTCCAGAGACTAAAAACTAACTGGAGATCCATCCCAGTGAGTGCATTTCTTGACATCTTGCGGTATTTTTTGTAAGCTTGGCTAAAGCAGCTGTGAACTTGTTGCATCTAATGTGTCCATGCTATATTTGCTTATGTTTATGCCCTGGGGTGAAGTCATTGGTTCCTGAAGAAGACAATGGCGCAGTTTCAAGAGAGCCTTTCAGGAGATTTGTTTTATTATGCAACCCCTCAGGGCCAGAAAAAAACCCCACCTTTTTATAGTAGGTGCTATCACCTGCCCTTTACTGCCTGAAGGTTGTAGGAAAATTATATTTAGGAGAATGGCAAGGAGTGAAAGCATGATCAGTTCAGTGAGCGCATATTGGCAGAGGTGCGTGTATGCAAGTGCCCCAAGGTGAGGGGCAGTAAGAGACTTGGCTGCTGATGAAGCCCACAGTCATTCAGCATTTGCATTTTTGCATTCCTCACATTCCTGTACCAGAGGATGGGTGGAGGAGAGGAAGGGTGTGTGTGTGTGTGTGTTGGGGTGGAGGGGGGGGTGAGAAAGTCATATCAAAGTTAGATTCTCACTGTGGTGTTTGTACAATGATAAGAGTGACAACAATTTGTGGGGAGGGTCTGAGGAGAAACCTTGTTTTCTTTTTGTTTGTGGGTGTATGTGTGAGTTAATCCTCCCGGATTGAGTAGAGTGTATGTATAGACGTAATTCCTCTTGCGTAAGAAACACTAGATACACTAGAGCAACACTTGAAGCTAACGTCACTATCCAGAAATTGTTTTCCTTGTGCTCTAATCCCTGAAAAATAACCTGAAGTTAGTGAATGTCTTCAGTAGCTTAAACAGACTTGTTGCAGTGGTCATCCCTGACTGCCTATACAATACTCTGAAAAGGTAATGGAATTGAAATGTGTTACTTATAACAAAGCTACTACTGAGCACTATGATACAATTTAATTGCACTGTAACATTTTCTTGCAAATAAAGTACAGGCCAGAAATGATTATTGATAACTCTAAATACTACAACGCACACATTTTCTTGAATTTAAGTGACCAAGAGCTAACAACCATACAATTCTGCATTTGTCAAACTATTGCATTTCTGCTGTACACAGTAGATCGAAACTTAAATAGTTTTCCAAATTGTAGATTTGAAATTGTAGTGTTAAAATAGGTTTGTGTAGGAATCTTTGTCGTAGTTTATCTTAGCGTTAGCTTTTACCATTGTTATGGAAAGATAATCTCATATAGCAAACATGTTGAACATGTTAAACTGATTATGAATTAGATTTACTTCTATAAAGATGAGTAGATAAAAATACAACCTCAATAAATATGTCAGTAGTGTAAAAAGTTAGCATCTTATGAGTTATTTGCTCTTGTTGGGAAGAAAAGTTTATCTTAAGTAATAGCAGCAACAAACCCCAAACTTCATGCTGGATCACTAAAGAAATCCATTTAGAGATGTTGGTCATTTTTACATTTTATTATTAAACATCATCAGACATAAAACAAACTCAAGGCTCATTGACTTTACAGGGAAGCTGTTCCCAGAGAACAGCGGCAGAGCTAACTTTGTGGTTTGGCCTGCAGCAAAAACGTCATCACTGAACCGCGCCATAGTGAACCCTCTGTCTGTCTTGCTCTCTCAATTTCTCCTAAAGTCACTGTAACCCACACTCACAGTTTCTGTGGAACATGTGATGCTCTGAGCTGAATCCAGTCAGAGAGTTAAACATTGACTGTCTCTGGCCTGAGATTATATCATTGCGTTAAACAGCACACTTCCTGGAACTGGACATCTCACATGCGGTTTTACTGTAGTTGTGTGTGGACACAAAATCATTTTTATAGCCCGTTTTCTGGGGGAAACCCAGAGTCTCGTCTCTTTCTATTAATTTGTCCTCCACTCCCGTTGTAAGGGTATAAATATCACGGTGTCTGTACATAAAACATCTCCGACTCATACACACTCACCACAGTTGTTTTTGTGAACCTCGCTGTGTCACACCCTGGTAAACAAGATAGAGCATCTTAACCACTGGGGAAAAACAGGAAGTTTACTGACCTCAATCAGAGTGTGTGCATTGCGTATCATCAGCGTGTATGGTCTCCCTGTGTGTTTTTTGCCCACAGTATATTTGTTTACCATATCGCTCAGTTCACATCTTGGTCTCCATAGTTGCAACTGTTTGAAATGTAGGCAGATGGTAGTGACGGAGAGGCCTATGGACTGCCTAAGGCACTGTGTCTGCACATAGAGAGGTCATGTCCTTCACTTCCTGATCTTGATGTTTTGAGCCACAACACCACTTGAGTTTTGGGACTTGGGTTACTAGGTTTTTGAGAAGCTTGACATACCCATACCAATATTTGTATGAGGTGACTCAACAGCAACTGATGTTGACATTGTACACGTTTAATTGCAGTGGAGCTATGAGCTGGGCTGTATGCTGACTTTTTGAAGAAAAAGTTTGCTCCTTTTGTTGCTTGAGAATTAGAAATGTTGTAGTACAAACAATAATTCTGAGATTAAAACATCTTTTATATTTCTGGTATTACGGCTCCAACCATTGTTTTCTTTGCTGACAATCTGGCGATTATATTCTTGATTTAAAATTTAAAAAATGTTTTATCTATAAAATGTCAGAAAATAGTTAAAAATACCCACAAGGGCATCTTGTCCATATTCCTTGTTTTATCCATAAACTGTATAATAAATAGTGGACGTAGCAGCCGGGCCTGAAAAGTGAGGCCCAAATGGTAACCTTAAACAAGTGCAAACCTATTGAAATGATTTTAGGTGAGAAATAGGCAACACAGTAACAGAATCAGTATTTGATCAGCACTGCCTAGTTTGACAGTTTCCTCCTAGTTCTAAGATCTAAGTTTGGTTTAAGACACTTCCACGTTGGCTTCATTTCACAGACCCAGAAGCTCTGTCCATTATTTATGCTGTCAATGACCGTAAACCTGAATTCTTTGTAATGGCCAGCAGGGGGCGACACCACTGATCGCAAAAAGAAGTCCGATTGTAAACGACCCTACATTTCACTTGATTTATTAGTTCAGTAATCAGTTTCCTAATGAGTTTATGGTCTCAATTGCTGGTTTTCAAGTTATGCAAGTCACAGCATCAAATGATCGACCATTTAGAGTAAAACAGACCTAAAGCAGGGTATGGCTTTAGGGCTACATTGGGATTGACAAATAACTGCCACGGCCTGTCCACGGGCTCACAGTCAGATCCTATCAGGGTAGATGTGTAGCAGTCCTCCCCAGCTCCACCGTCTCGTCCAAATATCATCTCACTCTCCAAAATAAGAAACTGGCGACGGCCATAATGCCAAACTTGAATCCTCAAAATGGTAGACCACAAGCCAATGCGTGGTGTCAGGGTAGGTTCACCTTTAGTTATATCTCACCAACAGTCCAAAGATACAGTCTTCTATCACATACAACAACAAACATGAGCAAATCCTCTTATTTGCGATGCTGAAACCAAAGATTGCATAGCATTTATGTTTGAAAAAGCCAATTCATAGATTTATCTATATAATATCCAATTAATCTTCTGTTAATGAAGCAATCTATTGATTGACCAAGCGCTTTAGATCTAACTGTGATTGTTATACTGAGGTGAAAAACATAGCATAGGAAGGTAAGAGATTAAACGTGTTTCATTAACCTTGTGTTAATTTTGTCTGTACAAGTAATATCAAGTGAAATATTCAACCAGGAAAGCATAAAACATTGACAGAAAAATAGTAATAAGCTGTACTGATAGATTTTGCTCTGGTTAAACACAAAGTTAATACATTAACAATAAATGCGGCCGGATGTTAACAATAGTTTGACTCAGATTTCTTAGAAGAGGACTTTCACTTGACCGCAGCATTAGTTGCGTGGAATTCCTTTTGACACTTCTGATTGTATCTGTAAGACTTTTATTTGGAGTGCTAAAAGGATTCAACACTTTGTCGATGTGACTCAGACTTTCTTGTAGGTGTGATTGATTTATTTATTTTTTCACCATGAGGCCTTTTGCCCCCACTCACAAAAAAGGACATTTCTTTACTTGCCTTTTCAGCCACTTCAGGCTACAGTGAACATGTCTGTATCAGTGGCTGTTGCAAACAAGTATGTTAGAACTGATAAACATGAGTGGAAACAGTGAATCATACACTGTTGTTTTTAGACAACGTGCTCATTCAAATTATGTCGCTCATATACATCTGCTTGTTTCAGAATTGCCAGTTTACATTTTCAGACTTTCCAGAATTAAAAAATGCCTGCCAGATGAATATTGTTGTGCAGGCAATATCCCTTCTCAGTGATTTCTAAAATTATCTCCAGTAATTTGAGTGAAAGGGAAATTATTAGGTATCATAGAAACGAGAGGCAAAGGGAATAGACGGTAAGAAAAGAATGAAAGTGAATGAAAGGTCAGTAAGGGCATTTTGCTTTGAGTGCTCTGTTCTTTCTGTTGTCTTATCTCGATTGACAGGGCAGCCGGGGCCTCTTTGTGTGTGTGTGTGTGTGTGTGTGTGTGTGTGTGTGTCTGTGTGTCTGTGTGTCTGTGTGTCTGTGTGTCACACGTCTTCAGTGCATAGTCTGTCACATACAGAGCAAAACCTGCCTTGTTCTGTTTCCATTCTGTGTTAAATCAGCCACTTTCAGCCCTTTCCTCTTTATTTACTTGTTCTTTAACTTTCTCACCTTCTTACTATATGAAAAGACACACACACACACACACACACACACACACACACACACACACACACACACACACAAATAGCTCCCAGACATCTGCCACATTTTGTGGTTTCCCCCTCCCCTAACAGTCAGTTTGTTCTGTCCCCTTGTCCATCAGATGCAGTGCCCCAGCCGCTATCCAGACACCCCCAGCGAGGAGCAGAGGCACAGGAAATAAGAGACTTCAGAAAACAGCAGGTAAAACCTGTGTGTGTGTGTGTGTGTGTGTGTGTGTGTGTGTGTGTGTGTGTGTGTGTGTGTGTGTGTGTGTGTGTGTGTGTGTGAGTGTGTGTGTGTGTGTGTGTGTGTGTGTGTGTGTGTGTGTGTGTGTGTGTGAGTGAGTGAGTGTGTGTGTGAGTGAGTGAGTGAGTGAGTGAGTGAGTGAGTGAGTGAGAAAGAGAGAAAGAGCATGCTGTATCTTGTAATCATCTTAGCCTACTTAACCTGTGATGCTGCTGTGCGTGCATGTGTGCGTGTGCAAGTGGGAGAGGAGGAATGGAGCGCTGACTTGACTGGAATCTGGGAGAGTAGGCCCCGTCCTGACAGGCGGGGAATGTGTGGAAGTCAGCCAGCATGCTTTATTTTCATGTTAGAGATCAGTGTTACACACCTGAGTACATGCTCACTGGATCCCCTTTGACGTATTATATCCTCCTGTTTAACTGTCTGGACAGTACAACAAAATAGGTCCTGTGTTGTTGTTTTTTAATGATTTTTTTCTTGTCACTACAGCTAGGCATTGTATAAAAATTAGCAGCATATTTTTGCGTCCTTTCATTTTCTCTTGTCGCTTTCTTGGCTCTAGTGGACATTGTAAAGTCTGAAGTGTTTCATCTGATTTCAGTTATTGCTGCAGTTGGAAGTCATTTTCTTGTCACATGTATTGTACCTTGTGCCATATTTAGCCAGACTTTGGACTCTTTATGTAACAGTGTTGTCCTTAGAGCAGGAAATAATGTGCTGTATAATACTGTATAGTATTGTTTGTGTGTGTGTGTGTGTGTGTGTGTGTGTGTGTGTCTGTGTCTGTGTCTGTGTACACTGATCAGCCATAACATGATGACCAACTGGGCACCCTGGTGGTCATCATGTTCTGCAGTCCCAAACGCAACAAACTGTGATGCACTGTGTGTTCTGACACCTTTCCATCAGAACCAGCATTAACTGTTACAGCAGTTTGAGCTACAGTAGCTCGTCTGTTGGATCGGACCACACGGGCCAGCCGTGATCCTGTCTCCGGTTCACCGGTTTACTTTCCTTGGAGCACTTTTGATAGGTACTGACCACTGCAGACTGGGAACACCCCACAAGAGCTGCAGGTTTGGAGATGCTCTGACCCAGTCGTCTAGCCATCACAATTTGGCCCTTGTCAAAGTCACTTAGATCCTCACGCTGCCCATTTTTCCTGTTTCTAACACCTCAACTTTGAGGACAAAATGTTAACTTGCTGCCTAATATATCCCACCCACTGACAGGTGCCATGATAAACAGATAATCAGTGTTATTCACTTTACCTGTCAGTGCTCATAATGTTATGGCTAATCGGTGTTTGTTTGTATATATAGTGTAGGAAATGATGTGCAATACTGTATAGTTTAGTTTGGTGATTGGATGAAAGATGAATGTGTAAACTTAACCATTAAAATACTGAACTGTGGCAATCCCAGCACTACTGACCCAATTTGTCTATCCCTGGTTATCACAAGTGGAGTGTATCAAGTGCAGAATAGTTTGTTCCTTACAGTTTGTCGTTTTTTCCTGTCGTAACTCACCACATGCTCTCCTGCTCCTTTACCTTTTTGCATATGAAAGCTGAAACAGTTGATTCATTCATTAATCAATTGACAGAAAATGTATCTGCATGAACTTTTATAATGTAAAAGACTTTATAGGCCAATTGATTAATCAATGAATCAAGAAAATAGACAGATTACTTAGTGATACAAATATTAATTTGTTGCAGCCCTAAGGCATATTGCAGTTTTATTTCCTGCTGTTCTTCACCATGATGGCATGTGTGCCAGCTGCAGAAGCTCACAGAGCAAACAGTCTTCACTTCCTCCTCCTCTCAGATGTAATGCTTTATAAATGTGGTATACAGGTGCAGCTTTGACAGCTATCAGCATAGAACCCACATTTCCTGCTGTCAATCAGTGCCAGTGGCCAATAACTACCAATAATCAGTACAGATGCCTCCCACCTGCGCTCTGTTTGTCCCCCCACCCTTCCTTCCTTCACTCCTACTCAAATGCGGAAAAATAGCATGATCCAATTACTCATGCTGTGTTCTGTCTCCGGTGATCTTCCCACCGATCACCACAGAGCAGAGGGTGTTTTAATGGCACTGGAAGATCATCACATAGCTTCTCATAAGAAAAATGAGGAACATCTGTTCTGACTGTTTTTTTTCCCCCAGAAATGACCTCTTGAGTTTTCTTTTTCTTGCTCTCAGTATTAACATCAAGCAGTATGTTGAAATTCTTTGACTCACAATCCTAGGAAGCCCTGCCCATGGTGTGTTTGGGTGGCATTATTCTTATGGCACTGACCTTGCTACCAGAGGTATTATAGAGGTTGTGTATAATTAGACTAGCCTGTGTTTTCAGCTGGACAATAGAACATGTACTGATACTGTTAAGTAATTACAGATAGAGAGTAAAGTCAGGCTGTTTACTTGTGTGCTACACTATATTTTCTGTCTGCAGTAACGAGATCCACTTGCGTGTCTGTCTCTGTAGATAACAAAGATAGTACACTATATTTGGCATTGATTCTCGTGGATGACATTGGCCTGTGTGTGTGCTTTATTATTAGTTAAACAGAAACCCCCGCTGTGGCAGGGCAGTGTGTGTAGAGTTGAGCAGCCCAGACAGATAGATGGATGTATAAAGTGGAGAGGCAGACATCAGCGTCATGCACAGCGTCAGTGTCATTTACCGCAGCTAAGTATTCCCAGCAACCCAGTCACCTCTATAGCGAGATGACAGCCGGAGCCAAGAAATGTCTCCCATTTCCAGGCTTGTGTGTGTGTATAGGTCTGTGTGTGTGTGTCATTCAGTGCCAATGTGTGGCCCTTTGTTTATGAGGGAGATAAATGGTGGTTTGGCAAGATGCTGGAGACCAATACTGAAAAATCAGCAGTGTGTGTGGGAGCCATCCCCGCTACATTCACGGGAGCGCTGTGTTATTTTTGTCCATTTCTCTCTAGTCTTTCCACCGCTTCATGATATCATCAGCAGCCGCAGACCTGTGGAGGCTGTTTGTGACGAGCTGAAATTATCTTTAAGTCTATTTTCAAACTTCTCACTTTTCAAGAGTCTCGCTGCAGTGAGTTGTGCTTCTAGCAATGACCTTAAACGACCTCTCAATCAGCCCTGTTGTTCCTCGCTGAACTTGTTTTTCACATAGTTCTATCGGACTCCTCTGTTGTGGTTTTAAATGATGTTGCTGTCTCTGTGCAGATTAGAGTTTGTTGAAATACATTGTCGTTATAATAATACTGAAACTGACAACAGCACATTCTACGGATCACAAATAGAGCTGAAATTTTTAGACCAGGGGCTTTCAAACTGTGCGGGGCACCTCCCCGGGGGCTTGGGAGACTTGCAAGAGGGGCACAGAGAGAGAGAGAGACATGAGACAAATGCATGCCGGTGACCTAAAAACACCAGGACGTTAATTATTGTAGTTTGGCCTGATGATTTGTCCCGTTTATCAACACAGTCAGCAGTTGGAAAACCCTAGGCACCTGATTGCCCCAATTTGTTCTTGGAGTCATACCTCAGTCAAATCTGAACACACAAACAATACTCATCTTTGCATCACAAATTTTCACTGACGAAAACTTTTAAAGTCATGATGATGGGAATTTTTTTGTGGTCTGTACCAAACATCTAGAAAGCCATGATCTGTAGGCCAGGACATCTCTTCAGAACTACAGTACTCATTTTACCTTTTATGAACTTCAATTTGCCAATTGCCAAACAAAAGTTAATCAGCAACTATTTAGAGAATAGTTTCATTGCTTAACTCATTTTATTTATTTAGCTTCTCAAATGTGATGTTTCCTGGTATTCTGTTATAAACAGCTGAATATCTTTGGGTTTGGGACTGTTTGTTAGACAAAACAACCAATCTGGAGATGTCACCTGGGGCTCTCGGAGCTTGCGAGGGACATTTTTTGCTGTATTTTTTGCATATTATTCGATAATTTGGGCTGGGCCAAAATAGAAAGAGAAAATAATCTGTAGCTGCAGTCATAATCATACATATTTATTTATAGTCATTAAGTAGATCTAATAATAAGAAAGGTTAATGTTGTCTTCAATGGAAAAAATATTAACCTCAAGTTAAAAAAAAACATGTCCACGTGTTCACTCCCTAATGATAGCTGTTCATTGTTTCCTCTTTGTCAGAGTTTCCAAGGAAGGCTTCCTCTGTCCTTTTTTAAAAAGCTGTTGTGTCAAATGGAACAAAGGCTAATCCTTATGTCACCCTCATAGAGCAGCTGTTAGTACACCATCCTGCTCAACATCAAAACAACCATTGCGACCACCTCCAGTCAGCCTGCAATATTGCCTGTGATCATTGGATGCTGGGGCTGCAGGAGGCTGGAGCTCTCAGCCATCCAGTTATTCAGCTATTTATCCAGTATAGAGGAGAGACGAGGAAGTAGCGTGAAGTAAAGCGTTCAACATAGTTAGTCATGTTTTGATGATATCAAGTTTATTTAGAGTAGGATTTATTTTTGTAAAAATATTCTAAGCAGTTGCCTTGTCTGCATTGATTGTCGAGAGCAGGCGAGGCAAAGAAGACATTAGCAGCATGCGTCACCATATGCATGTGCATTTAATTTCTTCATTTCCTGTTTCTCCGAATCAGATTGGCAAGGCAACCTTTGCATGTGTGGGTTTGCTCTCCCTGTAAGGCTCCCTTGTGTCTGTAGTGCGAGTTTATCGGAGCTTACTTTGAATAATGACCTGTGGTTGTGATATGAGTTTGCATAGCCTTTAGCTTTTCAGTAAAGCTACGGTAAACATCAGCTATGTTTGTGTGCTTTGCTTGCACGTCAGAAACGCTGGGGTATATTTACTGTAGTATTGACTTTAATTGGGAGTGCTTAGACTTTAAAAAAAGCACCTTATTTGCATGTGCTTAGACATCGACCCTTGTGGCCGTGTGTGTGTGTGTGTGTGGGT